ATCCCCGGGGCGGCCTGCGGGGAGAGCGGGAGCGTGAAGTCGGGCGAGATTGGCCGTGCGAGGCAGCGCCCGAGGGGGAAGGGCGCAGCGCCTCAGCGCCGCGCGCGAGTCTGCTCCAAATTAATCCTTCTGTCCGCTTTCCCAACCTTTTCCAGGAAACGCCGCTGAGGAACAGCCCCAGCCCTCCCAACAGCACCGGAGGCACAATCGACAGCGATAGCTGGGATCCCCGGTTCAATGACATCCCCTCTTCCGTTTCCCTGCCCGCCAAGAACAGAAAGAACTTCAGTCAGCTTAAACGAGCGAAACCGTACGGCTCCCTGTTCCAGCGGGCAAAACCCGGCAACTTCCTGCCAGAGCGAAAGCAAATCGATAAGATCAGGAAGAAGAAAAAGCTGAAGAGGAGGGAAACGGAGGTGTCCGCAGAGGAGGACTACGAGGAGAAGCTGCTGGAGTTGGAGGCGGAGGACTCTTACGTAGAGACGCCGATGAGCCCCTCGTCTGAGGGTGACCCCCAGTCTGCGGCCGAGCACTGCTCGGTGTGGGACTCTGACACGCCTTCCAGCGTCTCCTACCCCGCCGTGACGGCCGAGCAGACGGTGGAGATCCAGAGCGTGGGCAAGCGAACGGTCATTCGGCAGGGCAAGCAGGTGGTCTTTCGGGATGAGGACGGCACCGGCGATGACGAGGACATCATGGTGGATTCGGGTAGGTGGCCTGGCTGCCGAAAGAGGATTAGCCAGGTGGAAGCGGCAGTGCTGTTGCTGATCTCTTTGGCACTTTATCTGTAGCATGAGGATAACGCCAAGGTGTGCTGCTTGGGCAGAATTAAGTCGCGGTTGGGTTTTTGGGGGGAAGGGGGTGTTGGTTGGCTGCTCTTGCAGTAGACCGAGTGAAAAGCTGCAACTTTATAGAAGCAGCTGGTTCTCCCCTCCTGGATTATGGCCTCTCATGTACTGCCGAGAGACTCTTCCCACGCAAGAGAGACTAGTTTCTCTTAAGACGTGGAAAAATCAGCAAAGTGCCTGTCTTTGAAACCCAGGCAGTTAATTTAGCGCGAAAGGAAAGTAAATTCCCGGTGTGGGTGAGAGGCGTTGGCCGTTAAAAACGTAGCTTGCCGTTTCTCTTTGCAGATGATGACTCGTGGGACCTAGTCACTTGCTTCTGCATGAAGCCTTTTGCCGGGCGGCCGATGATCGAGTGTAACGAGTGCCACACCTGGATCCACCTCTCCTGCGCCAAAATCCGCAAGTCGAACGTCCCAGAGGTCTACATATGCCAGAAGTGCCGGGACTCCAAGTTTGACATTCGCCGTTCGAACCGCTCCCGGACGGGCTCGCGCAGGCGCTTTCTGGACTAGGGGAGGGAGGCGCGTGCTGGTGCGCTGCTTGGGCGGGCGGGCGAGCTGCGGATGCCGGCCGGGAGGCTGGGAGAGCTCCCCCGAACTGCTGCTGCTCAGGCTGAAGGGCTGCCTGGCCAGCCTGCGCCAACAGGGACGAGGAATCGCCAAGTCACGGGCAGCCGAGGCTGGAAGAGGCCGACTGGTCAGAACTGCTGCTAGATACCGATTAGCTCGAGGGACAGACTAAGCTCTCTGGGTTCGGTGGGGTTTTGTCCGGTTACAGCTATGAACTGGGTGATGTCTGGGGAATGTATAATACCTTTGCCACGTACGTTTTCTCATCCCATCGGGAAACTGCATACCTTCTCTGTGCTAGGAAACTCCTCCTCCTCCAAACAGGGAGGAGGAGGAGGAGGGAATCTGTGTGAAGAGTCTGAAAAGTAAATGGCCATGTGTTTTAATTTTAATGTAATATTATACCTGCCCATTTGTCCTTATATATCAATCTTAGATATTCTAAGGCTCTGTAGGAGTGAGTGTCAACGCATACTGACCCCTGCGTGATCTGCCCCCTCTTCAGCGGGCCCAGGCAGCAGGGGAGTTCCGTGATTTGGCATCGTTCAAGTGAGAACGGGACTTCTTCCTGCACCGAGGGACCGGAGCGTTTGAAAGAAGAGAGCAGCCCTTTATCTGGACAGGCAGCGCTGGGGATTAGCAACATCAGATTTCTTCCTAGAAGGTCTCTTCTTACGGTGATATTTTGTGACTTTGTTTTGCATGATCGGCTCAAATGTGTGTATGGGTGGATACCGTTTGCTCTGTTTCCCGGCCCTTCGTTAAACTCCAAGGTGCTGTTTTAAGAAGATGACTCTCCCTTTTCTCAGCCCAGAATTCAAACGTGGACTGTAAAATGGGCCGTAGTAAACTTAGAACCTGGCAGGTCTGGTTTGGGATTTGATCATTTCCATCCGGGTACTACACCTGAGTTGACTTTTGTTTTCGCTGTTTGTTTTTTGAGACTGGATTTGTAATCGAAAAAATGGAATCTTTAACCTATTGGTTGCAAATTATACAGATAAAAGCAAATGCAGGCTATGCAGCTAGCAAGATGAAGTGCAATGAAGATCCATCCGGGGCAGGGGAGCGCAGGAGAGCGCTGAGGCCCCCGCCGACGCTGCGGTCCCTTGACGGGACGTCCTGGGGCCTCAGCCCAAGGGAAATCTGTTCAGAAACGTGACAGGCA